AAAAAGATTCTTTCCAGAAAATATCTGTTTCCAGCACTTGTCAGTGTCCATTCTTGAATATATGGTTAACAACCACGACTTGTGACACACAAGCACCTATACGGATTTTGCTGGACAGCCAGAAAGCAATTAGATATGAACTAAATTAGCATGGTCACCTTACATTGAACACTTCTACTACTGAAGGCCAATAAGAAAAGGAAAAATAAAAAGTTACTCCTCCTGTAATCCCAGTTACTTGGGAGGCTGAAGCAGGCTAAAAAAGTTACTCCTACAAATTCTGCAAAACCTAAATTAAAATGCTCAGTCAAGCTGTTTGACAAGGCACCTTACACATGCCCAAAATTCCTCTTAAAATTCTGAATCTGGCTAGGCCCAGTGGCTCATGCCTGTAAACCCAGCACTTTGGGAGGCCAAAGCAGAACTGCTTGAGCTCAGGAGTTTCAACACCAGCCTGGGCAACATAGCAAGACCCCGTCCCATTAAAAAAAAGAAATAAAATTCATGAGGAAGGAATTCAAATAAAAAAAGAAAAAAAAAAGACAAAAAAAAGTTAAAAAGAAAATACTGGATCATGAAAAATACGCTGCTCTCCTAGACATACTCATGCTTCCTTTTAAGTCAATGAGAAATATGGAACTAATTGTTTTCTCTTCTGCCTCAGAGGAAAATGCCTAATAAAGCAACACAAAAGGTTCTCAATGTCTCATTCTCCTATTCTCTACTTAAGTAACAGCTTTCTAAACTTCTCCAACTAATCAATGAACAAGAATAAAAAACAATCACCATGTCATATTTTTATACTGAAAAAGCATGGCTGGCATGGTGGCTCACACCTATAATACCAGCACTTTAGGTGACTGAGGCAGGAGGATCACCTGAGGTCGGGAGTTTGAGACCAGCATGACCAACATGGAGAAACTCTGACTCTACTAAAAATACAAAATTAGCCAGGTATGGTGGCAGATGCCTAAAATCCCAGCTACTTGGAAGGCTGAGGCAGGAGAATTGGCTGAAACCAAGAGAGGGAGGGGGCTGTGGGCCAAGATCGCTCCATTGCACTCCAGCCTGGGCAACATTAACTCTGTCTCCAAAATAAAATAAAATAAAATAAAGAAAGAAAAGAAAAGAAAAGAAGGAAAGAGAAAAGAAAGAAGGAAAGAGAAAAGAAAAGAAAAAAGAAAAGAAGGAAGGGAAAGAAAGAAAAAAAGAAAGAAAGATCATGGTGGTGGTGGCCATCAGTCTCATCCCTACCATCTTCCCTCCTACCCCTAGCCCTGTCCCTCCAATCTCTCACTCTCTGGCTTTCTTCCCTCCCTCTATACCCCTCTACCCTTAAAAAACAAAACAAAACAAAAATCATGGTAAATCTCTAATCTACTCCACTATATAGTAATATTTGCCTAAGTTATTTGAAATTTTTTTTTTTTTTTTTTTTTTTTTTTGAGATGGAGTTTCGCTCTTGTTACCCAGGCTGGAGTGCAATGGCGCGATCTCGGCTCACCGCAACCTCCGCCTCCTGGGTTCAGGCAATTCTCCTGCCTCAGCCTCCTGAGCAGCTGGGACTACAGGCACGCGCCACCATGCCCAGCTAATTTTTTTTTGTATTTTTAGTAGAGACGGGGTTTCACCATGTTGACCAGGATGGTCTTGATCTCTTGACCTCGTGATCCACCCGCCTCGGCCTCCCAAAGTGCTGGGATTACAGGCTTGAGCCACCGCGCCCGGCGAAAATTTTTTTTACATCAGATAGAATGGTTTTTTTAACCTATACTGTTGAGTAAAATTGACACTCCAGGAAAATATGCCATGTTTATCCTATGACTTGAAGTACCTCTAGGCGCGAAGCCAAAGGGTACCCAGCAATACACATACAACAGAACAATAAATCATGTAAGTGATATCTGATAATCATTTTAATTTCATTTTATTGAAAATAATTATTCTATGTGACTTTATTGCATGTTGCTTTTTTTTTTTTTTTTTTTTTATATTCAGGAGATCTCTTTGTATAAGTATCAGTATACATATATTTTTATATACCTGCTGAATGATTTCAGATTTTTTTTAAAGACAGAGTCTCGCTCTGTCTTAAAGGTGAGACAGAGTGAGAGGTGCTGTGGAGGTCTAGGATTAAAGACACAGCCCCCAAACTTATCACCCTTTCTATTTGTAATCAGAGATGCGGGTTGAAAGAGGATATGGGAATGAGAAGGGTTACAAGGGGCTATGAAAGAATGAGATATAAACAATATACACTAAAAAGCAGACACCAAGGTTAGAGTGCAGTAGTACAATCTCAGCTCACTGTAACCTCCATCTTCTGGGTTCAAGTGATTCTCCTGCCTCAGCCTCCCAAATAGCTGGGATTACAGGGGTGCACCACATCCAGCTCATTTTTGTATTTCCTTTTTTAGGAGAGATGGGGTTTCACCATGTTGGCCAAGCTGGTCTCAAACTCCTGTCCTCAGGTGATCCTCTGACCTCGGACTCACAAAGTGCTGGGATTAAAGGTGTGAGCCACCACACCTGGTTACACATTGCTTTTCTTGAAGATCAACAGATTTAAAGTGTGGTTACTCTGGTTAATGTTGATTATACAAGAAATGCAGGCTGGGCACAGTGGCTTCTGCCTGTAATCCCAGCACTCTGGACGGTTGAGGTAGGTGGATCACTTAAGCCCAGGAGTTCAAGGCCAGCCTGGACGACACTGTGAAACCCCACCTCAGTAAAAAATACAAAACTCAGCCAGGCATGGTAGTGTACACCTGCAGTCCTAGCTGAGTCAGGAGGATCACTGGAGTCTGGGAATAGGAGGTTGCAGTGAGCAGAGATCATGCCACGAACCCCACCCAAAAAAGCAAGCAAGCCAGAAATGCAAAGTCACACAATTGTGCACTTCCTTATTTGTAAAAATATGTATTGCAGTGATTTCATTTTCAGAGTTTTTCAGTATAACATTTGCAAATGCTACAACTTAAATGACCTCACAAATTAAAGACTAAACACAAGAAAACAGTGAGTCCTAGCAAATCGGAACACTTTGAAGATATTAAATCCGTATTTTCAAATAGTCAGTATACAGTTATCACAACGCAAACCTGAAAATTCTTATTGCAAATATTTCTGGTTTTTGAGGTTTTAGTAATGTGACAGGCAATATTGCTGATTTGAAATAAAATATAATTTCCTTATGAAGCAGGGCGAGGACAGTAAGACTGACAGATAAGCAACATAACTGCAACTGTTAATAAATGTTAATTCCATCCTTGCTTTAGGTAAGACACTATATTAAGTGCTGTGGAGGTCCAAGATTAAAGACACAACCCCCAAACTTATCACCCTTTCTATTTGTAATCAGAGATGGGGGTTGAAAGAGGATAAGGGAATGAGAAGGGTTACAAGGGGCTAATGAAAGAGAGAGATATAAACAATATACACTAAAAAGCAGACACATTCAGCTATAAAAATCTGCTTTATATGGGAACAAAGGACTTAATTCTGTCTAAGAGGAAATGACAAAGTCTATATGAATCAAGGGACATGTTAATTATAAGTATGGATAGAATTTCAACAGGGAGCTTGGATAGGCAACGAAGACATGAGATGCCAGCAAAGCAAAAAAGGAAGACTGTAGGGGTACGTGCAGTAGTATGTGCAGAGGCAGGGAAGAAGGAAGCTTGAAAGGTGGACTGGAGCAAGCCTTGAATGTCATCCTAAAAATATAGGCTTTATGGACAGGCACAGTGAATCACGCCTGTAATTCCAGCACTTTGGGAGGCCAAGGCTGGCAAATACCTGAGGTCAGGAGTTCCGGGCCAGCCTGGGTAACATGGTGAAATCCTGTCTCTACTAAAAACACAAAAATTAGCTGGGCATGGTGGTGGCTATAATCCCAGCTACTCGGGAGGCCAAAGCAGGAGAATCACTTGAACTCAGGAGGTAGAGCAGCGAGGCAAGGTTTCGCCACTGCACTCCAGCCTGGGCAACAGAGCAAGACTGTCTCCAAAAAAAAGGAGGGAGGGATGTGAGGATAGGAGGGTTTATTCTGTAAGAAATCCAAAATCATTAAGGATGGGTCTCACATAAGAAGCAATAGTTTGATAAAATTATACTTATGTTTTAGAAATACGGGCAACGCTGGCTGGGCACAGTGGCTCTGGCCTGTGATCCCAGCACTTTGGAAGGCCGAGGCAGACAGATCAGTAGCTGGGCATTGTGGCAGGCGCCTGTAATCCCAGCTACTTGAGAGGCTGAGGTGGGACAATCACTTGAACCCAGGAGGTCACTGCACTCCAGCCTGAGCAAAAGAGTAAGACTCCATCTCAAACTCTGGTGATCCACCCGCCTCTGCCTCCCCAAATGCTGGGATTACAGGTGTGAGCCACTGCACCCAGTGGAAAGCTGTTTCTATTTTGAAAGATAATAAAAATCTGATGACAGTGATTTTCTGGTTTTGTCTGCGTTGGGCGAAGGTAATAATAAATCTATTTTAGATTGGTTCGGCATGAGATGCCAAAAAGGAAGGAACTAAGAAGAGAAATCAAGAAAATATATACTCAAGTTTTAGCTATGTTTCACTTTGTTGAGAGGGGGTAATAATGTATACATTACAATACAATATACAACAATTTCCTTTATTTTAGCTTCACTTAGCATAGCTTGAATAAAGCCCCCCAGCTAAGGCAAGTAATCAGACTTTCATTCGTTTTAGAATCGGTGTACTTCTAAAAGACAGGGCAACTAATAAAAATTGTGTAGGTTGAAATATATTTTGTACTTACTTACAAAGCTGTCTTAATGAATTAGCTCTGTTTGGAATAGTCTGTACCAGTGTTTTCTCTGGCAAGTTAACCTTGTCCAGCCTCCCTTACTACCTTCATCCCAACCTGGAACAAGCAAACCAACAGTCATCCACCCACTATGGGTAGATAAGACTTAAAATAACTACAAACTATAAAATACCCTCCTGCATTTAAGCCACAAGCACATACATGATCATCTTGTGAAGCCCCACATTAGATACATTTATAATGAGAAGCATTACACTGAAATAGCACAGGCTGGCCTAGAAAAGATAACACAACAGAAAACATACCCCATTAGAAGCTTTCTTCTTTGCTTTCCATTCATCCAGCTGTGCCTTGGTCTTTGCATCAACTTTAACTAGTAGCTTTTTCTCTCCAATTTGCAGGTCATGTAATAATCTGAGTGCACGGAGAGTAGATTCTGGCTCCTTGTACTCACAGAATCCAAAAGCTAGCAATGGATGGAAAGTATTAGTGCAGTATCAATCCACTTACAAAAGAAAAAGAAATTATATGCAACAGCTGAGGCTGCAGAAAAAAAGAAATTACAGAAAAGCAGAATCACTAGAGTCCAAATGTTATAATACAGACCATTCAATTCATCATTCCACCCCATCCACCAGTTCCCTTTGATAATCATTTCACTTTTAGTACCCTCAAACAACCAAAGGGGGGAAAGAAAAGAGAAAAACAGAGAAGAAAAATTCAAATCAAAAAAATTGCTACCCATTAGAAGCTCTGATAAACTAGCAGAGTCGGTGAATTTCATTATTAAAAGTAATCAATCGTTTCATAAATTCACCCTATTTAGACTTCCAAACAGCCACAAATAAGAAAAGACTGCTGGAACATAACACACTTTTCACCTCTGAGATGTTAAATTACAGAATTAGTGATCCTGTATCCTAGTTACCAGTCTATTTTGCTTATATCTATTTCCTTTTATAACTAGTCAATCTCACTATTAAGATGACTTTAACAGAGATAGTAAATCTAAGAAGAGCAACCAAATAATTGAAAAGAAAATCAAATAAACTGAAATATACAGTTAATGATATGACACAGAAAAGGACTACCGATATTAAAATAGTAAATTTGACTATAATATTTTCAGTGTGATATATCATAAAGATAGATATGCCCCTCAAAAAAGTACTTTTAGGCTAGGCGTGGTGGCTCACACCTGTAATCCCAACACTTTGGGAGGCAGAGGCAGGCAGATCACCTGAGGTCAGGAGTTTGAGACCAGCCTGGCCAAGATGGGGAAACCTCACCTCTACTAAAACTACAGGCGCACGCCCGTAGTCCCAGCTACTAGGGAGACTGAAGTAGAACTGCTTGAACCCAGCAGGCGGAGGCTGTAGTAAGCTGAGATCATGCCACTGCACTCCTGCCTGGGTAACAGCGAGTCCCTGTCTTAAACAAACAAAAAAAAAGTAACTTTAAATGATCATATTTCTGATGATAGTGTCAATGTTACTACCGTGAAACCGTTCTATGTGCAATGTGAAATAAAGCAACTCAGCAATTATTTAATATTCTATCATCGCCAGTGGCCTTGAAACTCAGGCAACTCAGTGTGAGGAAAAAGGAGATACGAGAGAACAGATTAAATTAAAAAAAAAAAAAAAAAAAAACCTTTTAGTCCTGAATCTGAATTAGTGTGCACTGGAAAAACCTAAAAGCAAACACCAAACCACTGTTACAATGAGTGCACCTGGTGCCCAGACCGTGATCTTCAAAACAATCTCCCACGGCGAAATGCCTTCTAAATCTGGGGCAGAAAATCTATTATACTAGATGAGCTTAGAACAACTTGTCAAACCAGATAACAAAGAAGCTGTCAAAGGCATTTAGGGTCATGTCAAAACCACTGGAGATGTAAAGTGCAGAGACAATTTTAAGTTAAGCTTTAATGGCGATAATAACTACAATGAATCCATATTAAACACAGTAACATTAAATATGCTTTAATTCATAAGTTCACAATAATTTAAAAGAAAAAAGAAAATCAGCCATTGTTAGAAAATGCTGAAGACACCAACTCATTACTTAAACAAAGTCAGGGCATTTACCCTGCCTTGCCTGTTAAACATGCCTCTATGCTGGGCGTGGTGGCTTAAGCCTATAATCCCAGCACTTTGGGAGGCCAAGGTGGGTGGATCACCTGAGAGGTCAGGAGTTCAAGACTAGACTGGCAAATATGGCGAAATCCTGCCTCTACTAAAAGTATAAAAAAATAACCGGGCGTGGTGGTGAGCGCCTGTAATCCCAGCTAATTGGGAAGCTGAGGCAGGAGTATCACTCCAGGAGGCTGAAGTCACATGAGCTGAGACTGCGCCATTGCACTCCAGGCTGGGCAACAGGAGCAAAAACCTCAGTCTCAACAACAACAAAAATACCTCTAGGTAACCAAACAGTAGATGCAGAGGCAAGTTTCTCCATAGAGAAGCATTCTGTTAACATATGAAGATTTGTTGTTCCTCAGTGAAAGAATGACAGAATTCTTCAAAACAGACTACTGATGAATTACTTCTCAATGAATTCATCAACCTAGGCACTGGCAACACTGATGCTATTACACACACACAAAAAAGACAATCTCACAGGTGTCCCCTGATGGAAGAATATTACCTTTATAGTATTCTTGCTATGAGATGCTAGGATAAAAGCATTAAAAAAAAAAAAAAAAGCACACATCAAGGTTCAACTACTAACCAGTTTACAGAAAATACAGAGGACAAATTCATGGCAAATTATACTACTGGAGCAGCATTTGGCAAAACTCAACAAATGCTACTGCACAAATGACCCAGTTTCTTCAACAAACTGCAAGGAAAATAAGAAATAGAATAATTTAAAATATTAAAAGTATGGCCAGTTAGTTCAGTTGGTTAGAAGACGGTGCTAATAATAAAATATTAAGGGACTTAAATTGCCTACTAGTTGCAATGTGTGAACTTCATATAGATCCTGAATCAAATGAACTATTTAAAAAACTGACATTTGAGACCAGGCATAGGTCTCATACGGGCTCACACCTGTAATCCCAGCACTGAGGTAAGTGGATCATCTGAGGTCAAGAGTTCGAGACCAGGCTGGCAAACATGGTGAAATCCCAACTCTACTAAACATACAAAAATTAGCCGGGCGTGGTGGCCGACGCCTATAATCCCAGCTACCATGGAGGCAGAGGCAGGAAAATCGCTTGAACCTGGGAGGCAGAGGTTGCAGTGAGCCGAACTCACACCACTGCACTCCAGTCTTAGAAATAGAGTAAGACGTCGTCCCAAAAAAAAGAAAGAAAAAAGAAAAAAAAAACTGACATTTGAGGCATTTGACACGAGACTTCTACTATTGACTGAATATTTAATGATATAAAGAAAGAGGCCAGGCATAATAGCTCACTTTGGGAGCCCAAGACAGGTGAATCATCTGAGGCCAGAAGTTCAAGACCAATCTGGCCAACGTGGCAAAACCTCATCTCTACAAAAATTAGCTAGACATGGTGGCACACATCTGCAGTCCCAACTTCTTAGGAGGCTGAGACAGGAGAATTGTCTGAACCTGGGAGGTAGAAGCTGTAGTGAGGAAAGATCATGCCACTACACTCTCAGCCTGTGCGACAGAGTGAGACTGTCTCAAAAGGAAAAAAAAAAGGAAAAATTGTTTGTCTTATAATTTTGTTTAGGTCTTAGAATTATAATAGCTAATATTTTAGATATGATTTTTAAAAGCCCTTATCTCTAAGAGACACACGCTAAAATATTTACAAAGAAACTCATGTGAAGGCCCAGCACATTGGCTCACACGTGTAATCCCAGCACTCTGAGAGGCCAAGGTGGGCCGATCACTTCAGGTCAACAGTTAGAGGCCAGCCTGGCCAATATGGTAAAACCCTGCCTCTGCTAATAATACAAAAATTAGCCAGCCCTGGAGGTGCATGCCTGTAATCCCAGCTACTCAGGAGGCTGAGGCAGGAGAATCACTTGAACCTGGGAGACAAAAGTTGCAGTGAGGCAAGATGGCGCCACTGCATTCCA